CCGATTTTAAAAGGATGAAAACGGAAAAAATCTTCATCTTATATTTGGGTAAGTACGGTAATTGTTTTAAGTTATTCTCTTTATTATTGTTAAAATTTTTATGTTCTGAATATAATTATATCTATAACTTGTGCACCTAGCCTGGAAAACATTATTCAATTGCATTTAGTCATATGTCTTCCCGTAATTTCTTAAAATTATTAAAATTTAAATATTTCGGGTGTATTACTTGACGCCTAAAATAATTCACTCACGTATTTTCAATTCAGTACAAGAATTGTTGAAAAACATATATCGTGCAAATAACTGCAGCAAAAGGTGTTGAATAAAACCATTAAAAAAATATTAATTTCAAACCTTGCATTGCTTAGAAAAATTAGACAATACTTAAACAATTACAAAGGTGGCAATGTACAAAGATGTATTCAGCTTTTTCTCAAGGTTAGTAATATCTATTATGTATATATATATACATATGTATATATATATACATATATATATATATATATACATATATACATTATATATTATATATATATATATATATATATATATATATATATATATATATATGTATATATACATTATATACATCCGTAGTACAATTTTTGTTTGCAAACTTTTTAATGTGTATATAATTGCTATCCCATGTAACAATGCAACTTTATGATGAGGTGAGATTTTGTTCTATAATAGTTAATATAGAGACAATCAATTTTGATGACTGCTGGCTTTGATTATGTCACAGATTTTTATGAAAAGAACATAAATAAAACGTTTATCCAATTTCAGGTAAACATGCGATACTAATGTTTCTGTACAAAATAATTTACGCATAATGTAAGTAATGTGTTTTTTCTTCAATTTCGTTACCTAGTAGGAAAATGATATCAAGTTATAAAAACAAGGGTCGTCTTATATTGAAATGTATTTTTTTCCCGAATTTCAAGGTGTAAAAACATGACTCGTCTTATATTCTGGTAAATACGGTATGTAAGTACACTGTTTTTTAACTAAGCAACATCTAAAATTACAGATTTTATGTGACAAATATAAATTTAAGCACAAGGAGCCCTTCTGAATACTCAAGACATTACATTAATTTATTAAGGGAATCAGAGAAGTGACAATGGAATTTAATATCCCTAAAATAACATCAAATTGCTGGAATTTCCACAATTCTCTTCAATTACAATATAAAATGTAAGTGATTTCCTTAATTCAAAACTGTTGAACTATAGCAGAGTAATGTGCCATGAGATCGCAGTGCAAGAAAGTACAAATAGATCACAGTCGTTAACTTTTTTCACCTGCTACATGCTACATTTTAATGTGTATGGTGTGTAATACAGCACAGAACAAAGAAAGATTGCCAGAACATGTTAAATTTACACTCACAACACCAAAGGAAGACACCATAAGATGACATCAAATAGGGCCTACCAAGGTTTTCAGATCTGTGATGTCCAATACAAATCACATGCAACTTAACTTGGTTATTTAAAAACTGTCTTCATTCACTCATTCTACTTTAAACACACATATCGTAAATACATACATATTTCACTAAACACACATCCAATATCAAGTTGTACATCATCTTGCAGTTTCCCTTTTTGTAAACATTCTGCATGTGTAATGTTTTCTGCCAGTCTTTAATGAATTAATCCGCAACGTCTTTGACAAACACACTTCAACATTTTGTATAAATAAATTTACTGTAAATAACTTCAAATTTACTCCCAACTTTTGCAAACAAGGCAATGGATTTGCATTATACATTAGTGTTCTGCAAAATGCTAAACCTGTAATGAAACATAAATTAAACTTTAAAATTAGATATTTTATTCGAGAAGAATATAATAGACAGTATTAAATTCACAAAAACATTTTACCGTTTACCTCTGTGTGTCAATGGACATTCTCAAGAGAAGAAATTCTGCTTACAGCAGATATTCAACTTATTAATACGTCCTTTGTAAACTTCAAAGATTTCAACATTCTTTCCAGGGGCATAATTTCCATTATGAAACACTATTTTAAACTCAGAACTGCAGAACACCATAGAAGCTGCCCCTCGCGATCTCTCGAGAACCATATACACGACTGTGATCCCGGCAAAGAAGGTTGTGCAACATTACCATACTAAACGTCTCAAATACCATGCCTTCACCGTTCACAAATGCGTTGGCGGGAACCACCGAAAATAAACGCCACAAGATATATATGGAATGGATACACCTGAGGATCATAATTTTCATTATAAAAAATTACGTAAAGTAGGTACGAGTAGATTCGATAATGATGCTATAAATGTTATACAATTAAAAAATCGTGTAA